GAAGATAAAGTGATTGCCATGTGTCCAGATCCACATGAACACACTTCCACAACACACTAGAACCTTCCTTTGGTGGATATATTTAGGTCACTGGTTGATGGCTCGGACAGATGCACAGTGGAGGTTCAATCCTGTGTGTTTGTGTGTGCGAGACAGAGAAGGCTTGTGAATGTGCCCATGCATTTATCAGCCATGCTGTCGCCTACAGTGTGTGACAGTTTCAGAGAGCCGGGGCCGGGGGACATCCCACTGGCATTAAGAAAGCTCTCTCCGTGGGATGCGTCAGCCAATGAGCAGCGGAGCCTCGGGGGGGCTGCCTTGTTAATTAAAGCTGGAGTTGTTTGTCAGTGCTGGCATATGATGCACAGCGCTATCACCGTCGGGGGAAAGACAAAACACGAAGCAAGATTGCTGCAACCCCTGCAACAAATCTGCTGCCTCACCATGGAAGCAAGACGTCTTACTACAGCAACGACTGCTGTGGCATCGGGTGTCAGTATCACTTTACACTGTGTTACCCAACTGGCAATCAGAGCCTGCACTTATAGAGCAGAAGCATACAGCTGACCACAAAGAAAAGATGGGAAAGATGGGATGTCAAACTACCTAAAATCTTCTCTAACCTCTTAATCTCAAGAAAGCATCGACTTAAGTTCAAGCACAGAGGGTGTCAATACAGCCCTGCATACTAGGTGCTACCAGGGTGTTCATTAATTGTCTTTGGCAAGTAAGGTTCTGACAGAGGAGTCCTCCTGAGTGTCAGCTGTACTAAAGACTGCTAATAAGGAACACACAGTGCTATCTGAGTGCTAACAATGAGATGCCCAGTAATGAATGTGGTGGAACTTGAGCTGTAGAGCTGCAAGTGTGGTTATTTTAGGAGTAAGAAAAAATAGAATACTGGTTCTCAGTTTGAGGCCTTCATCAGAGCACTTGATGTTATAGAAAATATGGATGGAGAAAGTGAAGCAGCAGCTTTCCTAACAACTGCTGTCAAGCTCCCCTACGGCAAGGGACTTAATTTTCCCATATTGCTTTGGTGGAGCTGCTCATCGGCCAACAGCACAGGATGATTAGTGAAAGTGTGCAAGCAGGGGCATGAAGAAAAAGAACAAGCATGTTTAGCAAAACTTCCCTGGATGAATAAAGAGACAGACGCTGGATCTCATCAAAAGCTTCTATAAATGGAACCCATTTTTGTTCGAATGCCTGGCCTTTCCTCTCCCTGCCCCTCGACACTGTTGTAATATCGCTAAATCAACTAAACCTAAATCCCCATTAGAATGAATTTAGAAACTCACGCTGCGGAACGAAAAACCCAAACAAATCTGTAAATTCATGTTAAAGCAGATGAACAGAAGGATTGTGGATTAACGAGAGGGGATTTGCCACTCCGACGTCACTCACAGAGCAAATGGAGCAAATCAAACATCTTATTAATAGTGTGACAGATGGATAATTGTGTCATTTTATTATCTGCTCACTTGTTCGATACCCACAGGGAGACTTCTAGAGGGTTTAAGCCGCAGCGGGTAATTGTTTTATAGGGCTGCTGTCAGGTGAAAACCTCCTTTCTCCAGGAGGTTGACATTGCGGCATTTAAGAAATTCTTTGATATTAATCGTTCTAATATTTATTCGAAAGATTTTTAAGAGGTATCTCTAGAGGAAGAAGAGAAGTAGAAACCATTCCAAGAAAGAAATATGAAAACCACCCAAACTGGACATACAAGTTTTTCCTTTTCTCCTTTCAAAAGCCTACAATAGCAGATTGACTGTGCTACACTCTTTGAATCATCACTGAATCATCCCTAACATTCTCTAATCACAATAAGGTGCCCGTGACAAAACAGTAAGGCTGTGTTTGTACAGTCGATTTGCACAGGTAAGTAAGCTGCTTTCCTATGGAAAACTGGTAGGAGATTCAAAGCAAATAAACACGCCATAATCAAATGCAGCCACGGCTACAAATTGCTTTCGGCTGTAGTGAAACGGGTTACGGGAGCGGGCGAGACCACCGTACAGCCTAAGCCTTCATCAGGGGAGCTTGATCCTATCAGCGCGGAGCTGGAATATCAACAACACCAACCAAGCGATTGAGTTTAGAGTCAAAGTGCTCTGGGAGAAACCCATAACCACGGGCTCTTGCAAACAGACAGTAGCAGCTGTGCACAAGTTACAGACTAAAATAGGACAATCAAAAGACAGTGACTGTAACCCAAAGGTGACAGGGTTTTTTTATGAAACATGTTCTTCCTGAAGTGCTCTAGCGAACGGCAAAGGGCTTAGATAGAGATTAAAAGAAACAAGATAGAGTAAATATTGGTATGTTGGCCATGTGGGCTCATTGAACCCAGGGAGGATGGGATATTGGTGTTGGCAGAATGCTAATGAGACAGTAGCCTGCCTGTAAGGCCTGACATAAACACTACAATGCTGGCCATCAGTCAGTTCAAAGAGGTCAGGAGGACCACACACACCCTCAGCCGATCTTATTGGAGCATGATGCAATAGGTCAGAGCTATTCCCTGGCCAAATGCTGCTGTGTCCTCCTCATAATTGATGAGCAATTAGCACAGGTGGCGTAGGTCATGAGCTCCACTCAAGCATACAGTAAGTAGGTGAGAGCGTGAGTCATGACTGATTTTAAGAGATTTTCCAGTGGGTACACATTTCAAAAGACTGCATTTTATTCACTGTGATGCAACTTATTAACTGGAAACAAATGGGAGTGTTGTTGTCACCTACACTAAACAGTATATGGAATGTGTAGAAGTGAACGTGCTGATTTCATTTTCCACATGCAGGAAAAATCAAGAGGCAAAGCACACAAAAAAAAAAATCTGTGCACATTCCCATCATGTAATTGTAACAGATCCACCAACATCATTTAATAAGCTCAGTCCATTTGCATGCAAATCAGACAAATTACCAACAAGTAGCTAGCATGTGAGTATCATTTCACATAGAGCTGTATCGTGCCTCATTTGCTTAGCCTTGAAAAATAAGCTCTTATGTAGAGCGCATTGTTTCCTCTGTGTTCATTCAACATGGATTTAGCACTTTAGTATGAATAATATTACTGCTCTGGAATGTGTAAAACAAAAATTTGATAACTGTTTACCATCATTCCCCATCAAACCCAAGAGGCAGCACTTTTATCATGACAAAGCATCGATAGAGAAACCCCCTTAGAAATGCAACCTGCTCATCCTGCAACAACGAACAGGACAGTAGCAAGGACAAATGTGAAACTTGTGAACTAAAAGGACCTCTCACTGCATCAAACCCACACACAAGATCTTTCCTAGAAGTCAATAGGGCAGGGCACTGCGCTGACAGCAGAGGATACACCAGCATGCTGCCAGAAGATGCCAGTGAGAAGCACTTTGCTGCTGTGACATCCTCAAAGTCTTTCACAGTCAGCAGCTGTCAGAAGTGGCAGCCACGCAGCACAAAAGGGCAGAAATACTCACACACAAAACCTCAGAGCGCGCTGCACACATACAAATCAACAACAATGGGCGCAGACACACACATTTCATCCACATTTGATAACATCTTGGGGAGGTACTGCTGTGTAACCTCCTATTGTATGGTATCATTGTAGGATTTTATGAGGTGTGATATTGTTTAATCTGTAGAAGCTATGTAGTTTTTGTCGTTGTGTGTCGTGTGTTATACTTCTTGAATTAATATAACAGTTCTTCGTGGTTAGGGTGCATGACCACATGTTTCACAACACCCTTCCTTTTTTTTTTCCCTTCTGCTTTCACACCCATTCTAAGCACCAAGAAGGGCTCAGATAAATGGAATAGCAATATAACCACTGATGACCTGGACAGGTTAAAGCTGTTTGCAGATAGCAGGTGGTGAATTGATGATCAGCTCCAAGTGAGAGAGTCTTCCATTCAATGTATGAGGATGGACAACTGTTTTATATTTCATGGACTTATTTTGCTGCGAATCGGCATTCAACCATTACACTGACTAAGCACTATGTAGGAGGGAAGAGTCAATCATGACTGATTAATACCACTAAGCCTACATGGGAGGATGTCATTGAAAGGAGGTGGCCTGTGGTATGATCCATGAGCTTTCAAATGAAGTCATCATCCTAAAATATACAGATTGTTACCTATGTTTATCAAAGCTAGTGATTTATATTTTAACTACAGTAGTGCTGCCATTCCCAGAATGAGCCATGGGAGAGAGAAAAAACAAACAGGCCTTGTCAGTCAGCATCACGTCCCTCAGGGAGCGATGTTTTATTTGTCATTTGGAACGTAATGAGATAAAAGAGATAAGGGGATGTCACAAGAGAACATCCTTTCTTCCTAAAATCATCCATCTGACATCAGAAATAACACACAGTAATGACAGAAACAGAGTAACCAGCACATGGTGTATCAGCTCGTGACAGATGAATGGTGCAATAGGCAGTTTATCAAAGAGCCAAATGTCAAGAGTGCACTGACAACTCATAGAGCATCCGAATATAAAACAATCCCGAGACATTACTGACACAGCAGTACCTGTTTGTTTTCCTACAACACTCCATATGCTGCCAATGATTAACATCTCATTCACAAAGCCTTGAACTTGTAGTATTCTGCAAACTGGCTGTCACACACTTTCATGTCATGGACTACAAACAGACACACATTCAGCTCCATGAACCAGGCAGGGACCCCAATAAGAGAACAATTGTGCTGTTTATGATTTAGTGTTGAACTCCACAGCTGTCAACAGCTGTGTGATAAGAATTATTGGGGGGGGGGTCTGAACCTCTGAGAATATCTGATCCAGCATCAGATGATCAGAAGAGCCATCCTCATCCAGTCTAATTGGCATCATCTCAAGTAAATTAGAGACAAATTAGACTAGTCCTCACGCTGCTGGTGAGTGAGGGGGGCCTCAAGGACCTCCACTTTGGGCGCCACTCCACTGATGAAGAATGCAGCACATATACACACAGGTAACGATCCGGTTCCTCCTTACCTCCAGACGGTCCAGGCTGATGAAACTGGTGATAGCAAATCCATCAATGATATCCTCCTCCTGCGAGCTGGACTCCCGTCTCTTCCGCCGGGGGGGACGTGGAGCTCTGGCGGCGGCTGCGGGGTGCGGCGCCTTTTTACCGGGCAGGGAGGCGGCGTCCCTCCCCGGACTGTGTCCCTCCCTGTCGGAGCAGGAGGAGTTGGGGTCGGGGCTGCGGGCGTCTCTGCTTCCTGTCTCCCGCAACCTCCGCACCCTATCCCGCTTGGCTCGGCATCTCCGACCCTGCTTCAGTTTCCCATCCATGTTGTTAGTGTACGCTTCGCAGTGTCAAAAACAACAGAAATATAAATATAAAACTCCACAGTCGGTGCTCGGCTGAACGCTCGCTGCACCGCGTAATAACAAATAACACACACCGGACTGAGGATCGTAGGCTGCGCTATAACGTGAAGATAGCGCTGTGTGTGTGTGTGTGAATAACAACGCAAATAAAGCCTTATAACACACAATGACCTTGAGTATAAACCTTCCCAATCTCCATTACGATAAGCAAATGTTCAAGTATCCCACTCAGGCGGTAGAGAGGGAGCAAAGAGACGCGGATCCACGCGTTATTTTGTCACGAATCTGCACTATGTCGACGCGGTATCCGTGAAAGCAGGTGCAAAACGGCGAAATAGTTCAAATCCACGCATCACTCTCGCTTTGTAACTTTTGTTGCATCAGAATAATAACAAGCAGCGTTACAGCCGAACCTCGCTGCATGCCGCAGACAGCGCAGAGAAATCATGTCGCTGCCCGTTGTTGTTTTCCACCACCCCAATCCATGATCCAAGACTGTCAAATAAAGAGCTCAGGATACTATCCGTCCGAAACAAAAACGCCTGGCCAACTAGTAACGTTACGTATCGATCGTGGCTGTCGGAGGAGTGAATAATCCCGTAAAGCGTTTGAGTTTTTAAGCCATATTCCTCTCTGCGCTTCAGGGGCAAAAGGATCCCAAGTCTGAGAGCTACTTATGCGCAATATTTCCTAAATGATCCAACCGTCCGAGTGAGACAACCATCCAGTGTGTGATCAAACTCCATGAGGCGATGAAGCGGTCTATTCCAGTTCAGATAATGTTGAGTTTCCCATAAATCCACTCCAGTCCGTCACTTGGCTGCTCAGTGGCTCATGGTATTTTCTATTCGCATAAGAAGGCTTTGATAAGTGTCCTTAAAGCGACAGGAGTGATTAAAATCTCCTCTCCCCCCCCCTCCCCTCCTCTCCCATTCCCTTCATCCGAAATTAAGAGACACAGTCAAGCTTCAGAGAACCCACATAACTGACGTATTTCCGCCACCTCTGGTTTACAAATTACCATAGGAAGGAAGCTGGTGTAAAAAAAAAAAAAAAAAAAAAGAGCGGGGGGGGGGAGGATAATTTTGTTGGGCACACTTTTTTGCAGCAACGGCACTATTTAGTCTGCCAGAGGCTGATGCACATCATGCATATCCCCGGGGACTGATGTTTGTGCTGTCACTGGGTTAGGAAAATGCAGGCTATGCACACCCCCCCACACACACACACTCATAGGTCTCTGACAGCTCCTCCATTCTGACCATCATCACCCCCCCAACCTTCTGAGTTGACCAGCAGACAACTCAATGTTGGAAAGTTACATTTCATTGTCAGGTACAGTAAATATTTGAAATATGGGTCGCCATACATACATACCCTTGCCCTGTGCCCAACCATTTTAAACCCCTGGAGCAGGGTTGGTGTGTTTCCCAATCTGCTGTGTGGGGACTTCCAGGGGTCCCTCTGGGAGTTCCTGGGAGTCCTCTGCAAAGTAATGGCACAGCTTAATTTATCTGCTTTCCATCAGTAGAAATCAGGGCAATGGCATTATATAATCACTGTATTGTGTAACAATTATTTCCATTATAGGTTTCACTGCCCCAGCTGTATTATAACTCCACCTACACTTCTATGTGTATTCACTTATTCAAGTGTTGTCAATGGCACCATGAGATTGTGTGGTGTACACTATATTGGTTTGGGAGGTCCTAAATAGCCCATGCAAAAGTGTGGGGACCACGGCACTAGATTAAATTCATACTTTTTAGTACAGTATGTGACAGTATTAATTGTGGCAGAAAAAAGCAACTTATTACATAACTGGAGACATCTCTCTATTCCCAGTGTTAAAACCCTCTATCTTCTCCTGTCCGCTATCTTTATAACAATCTATTACTGTACATATTCACTGAAACATCAGTCCCAGAAACTAATATTCACTGATTATAACACAGATCACTAAATAGATTGCATGTATATTTAACTTTCAGAGGAAACTTATAAAACATAATATCAAGTTACAAGTAGTCAGGGAAGCAGCGCTCCCTTTGTAAATGCCTGGTTAGTATTTGCATAATGCTTTGCTTAGCTGGAAACTTGCTGTCTCTTTGCTAGCTTGAATGAAGTAAGTTTGCTGGAGCTGTGAACCTGCCATCTTTCATGCCAAATTCCTGCAAAGATTATTTTTACTTTTACTTTTTACAGGGCCACCTGTTAGACAACTTGTGCACCCAGGATGCGTTGAAGCGCGAGTTAAAGCATGTTGCAAAAGTACAATTAAAAATGACAGAAAACATGACAAATTATGACATACAATAAATATCAGGTGAATTCACACCCTGTATGATTCAAATATTTGGCTATAATATGCACCGTAGCCTATTGAGTCTGTAGCTCATCCTATTGGTTATCTGAAAGGAAGAGGCCTAACTACATTGTGACTATTTTCAG